GGTGTCCACTCCCCACCTCAACGGACCACCGGGCGCCGCGCGGGGGGGGGGAAATGTGTGGGAGTTGAAGTCCACTATCATAAAGTTGCCAAGGTTGAGAAACACTGCACTAGTGTTTTAAAACCAAGCATTTTAGGTTTTACATAAAAACTAGCTCCTTGATGCAGGTCCAGAATCCAAGTCAGTATCAATGATCTTGTTTCAAGATCAGTGTAATATGATCTGCAGAAGACACTCTGGTTAGAATCTTAGCTGCTAGATCTTGTCCCAGGACTGAGCTTACAGTATTTATATATTTATGTATTTATTTATTTAATGTATGGGCTGCCTAACTCCCAAATGACTCTGGGCCAACTTAAAACTGAAAAACCAACATATAGAAAGTACAACTGCCTGGAAGGCAACATGCCAGAACAAAACCGAAACAAATCAGACCCAGAAAACAAAGTAAAACAAAATCTACAGTCAACTGTCACCAAGGCCTGGGAGCCCAACCAGGTCTTTAGCAATTTTCTAAATGACACAAGGGTGGGAACCACAAAGATCTCAGGAGGGGGAAAGCTAATTCCAGAAGGCAGGAATTGCAGCCAAGTAGGTACATCTCCTGGTCCTGCCAGATGACATTCTTTGATTGACAGGATCTGGAGCACACTGTCCCTGCTGAATCAAATCAGATGGGCAGGATGACTGGGCCTCAGATGCCCCTCAGATAGCTTGGCCCTAGGCCATGAAAAATTTTAAATGTGATAACCAGGACCTTGATAACCTAGAAGCCAACTGGTAACCAGGGCACACATAACGCAGTGCCCCATCGCTGCCCATGCCACCACATTTTGGAGCGGTGATAGCTTCCAGATAGTTTTCAAGGTAGCCCCATGTACAGCACATTACAGAAATCCCCTTGTGAGGTGACTAGGGCATGAGCAACCATCTAAAGGGCCTCCCAGTCCAGGAAAGGGCAGAATTGGTGCACTAGATGTGCCTGTGGAAAGGACTCCTGGCCACAGCTTCCATCTGCTCTTTGAGCAGGAGCTGAGAGTCCAAGAGATCCCTTAGATTGTGCCCAAATCTCAAAAGGGGAGTGCAACCCCACTGATAGTCAGTGATAGAACACTTGCATTTTCAAAGACAGCTCCACTCGGAGTGTTTAACACTAGTCTAAACTGGAAACGATTAAATAATGAATTACTGAAGTCTTATCTTCCTTCTCCAAGAAATAGAGCGATTATCCACAGAGGAATCTGGGGAAAAACACTTGGGAGGTTACTGCTGCTTCCTGACCTTCCAGAAGCAACATTACATCCAAAAGCTCTTTCATTCCAGCTTTTCACATGAGTTCATCCGGGACAGACTGTGCTCTCATTCCAGACTAGTCTGCTTGTTGATCAACAGGACCTTGCTGGCTGGGAAATTCTGGGAGTTGAAGTCCACACATCTTAAAGTTGAAAGCTTGAGAAAAACGGGGTTAAAGCTTCCAAAATCAGTTTAGAATCTGCCGAAAAAGAGAGATAGCCAAAGTCTTTTGGATATCATCATCTTCTTGGTGCAACCAGCTTCAAAATTTTGAAGTATTAAGATGCTTTGATTGGAATGTCAGCAAACTCTGACGCAGAACACAGATAGATAACAACCCTGTTGCTTCAGAAATTGTGGTTTGCTTGTTCCATTTTCCTGATTACATGAAACTGTACATTTCTTAGCTCCAAAGGTGATAGCACAGTTTTCAGCTTCAATGTGTGTATACAACAGGAAGGGTGTTGCAAATTAAGTTTTACTCAGTAGGCCTACAACAGGAAGAGTGTTACAAAAGTTATGAGTAAGTCTATCACACATTACCTACTTAAATGGCACTTAAGTACAGTATTTCACTGCTATGACCTTGATAGATATTTCAGCAATTGCATTTTTGGAAAATGATAAATTCAGTCTTCCATGGTCTTAGAGTGGGATTTCCGAATATGTATAATAATAATAATAGTATGTGTATTAATTACGTTATAAAGCAGACAACATTGGTTGTTTTCTCTACAATCATTCCAATTTCTTAAATTGCTTCTACATTTCTGATAAACCAAACCTAAACTGTTTGATAATCATGAAAAAGTAAGTCCTCTGAACATTTTCCCTCATTTTAAAGAATCAGGGTAGGTATTATATATCTGTTTTCTAAGGCCTCGGACCAAAACAAAGTGGTGTAGTTTCTTTCCAGTTTGAAGTAGAGTATGCCCTAAATAGAAGAAAAATACTTTACTTCCACAAATAATGATAAAAAAGGGAAAATAATAGCCTTATATATTTCTAAGATATAGCACCATTTACAGTACTTTTATTAGTATTACTTATAATATAGGCCTCTAAAAAGAATGAAAAAAGAAACAACATGTGTGGATCAAATAAAACAAAACTGAATGGAGGAAAAACAGATAAAACAAACCTATAAACTGCCTTGTACAGTAGTTCTAACCAATGATTCTCTTGTTCCTCCCATTCCAAAAGTTGCATGGTTTACAACTACCAAAAATTTCATTCTTTTCTGTTTAAATCATAGCACAGTTGTGATTTCAAGAATATTCTACTGTGATACTAAACAAATTTAACTGGAAATAAACACTGCTTTCTTTTAGAAGAGGATACAGATACTCCTCACTTAACTACAGTAATTGGGACCAGCAACTCTGTTGCTAAGTGATGTGGTCATAAAGCACGATGACACATGACTGTGCCAATTTACAATGACAGTTCTGGCCCTTCCGGTTGCCATTGTTAAGCAAATCCCACATAATCGTTAAGCACAATGTCATGGTGTTGCCATTTGCGACCTCCTGCTGGCTTCCCCATTGACTTTGCTTGTTGGAAGCTGGTGGTGAAGGTCACAAAGGGTGATCACATGACTGCGGGATGCTGCGAAGTCATAATTGTGAGCCGGTCATCAAGTGCCTGAATCACAATCAGGTGACCGTGGGGACACTGGGACAGCCACAACTCTAAGGACCGGTCATAAGTCCCACTCATTCAGCACCATCGTAACTTTGAACAGTCACTGAATGAGTGGTTGTTAAGCGAGGACTATCTATAATGCAATTTTAAAATTAATAAGTATAAATCTTTAAGTATACTTAAAATTAATGTATAAATAAAGTATAGTTAATAAGTATAATACAATTTTAAAATTAATAAGTATAAATAAAAGTACACATTTGGCTAGCTAAACCCTGATTATAAATTATTACAAGAGAAGGAAGGAAAGGAGAAGAAAAGGCAAACCCATATCAACATGGATACTAATTTGGTCCTATTTTTCTTGACCCTAAGTTTGTTCTACTACTCTAAATAGCCATTTCTGAGTGAGACTGACTTGATTCTGGTGGTAAGCAAACAAAGTAATAGCCATGATTGGCAGTCCAGTTCAGCAGTTGAAATAGCTGGTTTTATCCAGGTTTTAAGCCTTTATTAAAAGTGTGGCCAGATAACAAAAATATAGGTATGTTTCTTTAACTTTTGAGATCCACACCCCTAATTTCTTCATATAGATTTTATAAGTTTATTTCTATGATGTGAAAAGGCTGGAAGTATATTTTCTCCTTGAAATAACTATTCTTTCTGGTTAAATGTCACATTTCTTGTCCCCCCGCAGCAATGGAATCCAGGAGAAACCCTGTAAGAAATGGTCCTTAAACGTTGTCAAGAGAGATAAAAACAATTGTTTCACTGAAGAGCATGTCCACACTGGAATAGTTGGAGTAGTTGGGAAAAGCTATTTTTTCACATGCAGTGATACAGACGACAGTGTAAATGTTGTCGACCTAACATGGTATAAGGTACTTTTAAAGCTATTTCTTGCTTATAAAATGAGTCAGGAGGATGGGGATAATGTACCACAATGGAAATTGTCATTCACTGGATTTATACATTACAACAATAAAAAATACAAATGACCTTGAGTTGCAGTGAACATTGTCCACCCCTCAGTAAGGTGGCCCTGATGGCTTCAGTGAAGACTCAGTCACTATGACAGTATTTCTCAACCTTGGCAACTTCGAGACATGTGGACTTTAACTCCCAGAATTCCCCAGCCAACCTGCTGGCTGGGGGATTCTGGGGGGTGAAGTTCAAATTTTTCGAAGATGGCAAGGGTGAGAAACACTGCCCTTCGAGTAAAGCATAAACGGGGTCA